CCTATAAGTTCGGACACTTTTTAGCGCGGACCCGACGTCCATATAATAATTGTAAGTCAATGACTTATAAGTACGTTTTTTTGTACTGTGTGACACCTTTTAGATCTGGATTTTGTAGTAAGGTAGTAAGTCAAACGTGCAAGCGTCCTCTCCGACGACTGCCACGTTTGCACAGAGTTACCACCGCTTAGACTTATCTAAATATGTCGGATTAGAGAAATAGATTTTTTTAGAAATACTATAGATTGCTACTCACTACATTTTAGAAGAGATCCAAAAGAAAAGACAGCACAGGAAGTGTGTACATCATTTATTGTAGAGAGAGATACAGTAATCACATAACTATTTGGTACTAAATTTTTTGGTACTATTTGGTGGTAAATGGCAGTATTGTGGTTGTCTTGTGCCCAGTGACTCGTTCTCGAATGTGTTTCAAAAGAAACAGCAGCCCAATTTATAGGGCGACACATACATCCTCGTAAGTCTGTCCACGTGCAGTCAGCCTATTAAGCAAACAACGTCAGAAAAGCGCATATGCATCCAAGACAGCACAACCTGGTTAGTGTGCACAGGTGACGCACGTGTGCTTACTCCGTAAACAGTAAACGCGATCTCCGACATATAAATATTTTTATTTATGTATGAAAGTACAATTATCAAAGTTATTGAACAGAAGTTGTTGTTTATGATCTTAGTAATACATTCCTGGAAGGTTATTAGTAATTCGCAAAGACTCGGCTGTAACATTAGCTGAGAGATTACCACAGACATATATCTAGATAGACGCCGCAAGTGTACGTACTTCGCGTGCCCTAAGTAATTGACATTCACTTACTTGCCTCTGCTATAACTTCAGAACGCGCTTGACCGTTATCATAGATAAACACCAGTCGAAAACGCGAAGAATGCATAATTGTGCCATTATATACTGCAAAAGCACCATAACTGTGGGTAAACTGGTAAACAGGGAAGTTTCATTCCACGGGCAAGTGATTTTTTAATCGGAAGATGCATAATTTATTTTAAAAACAATTCTTTTGGTTTTGTATGAGTTTCGAGAAAACAGATATGCAACCGAGTGTATGCCTCATACATTGCGGCTTTTACTTGGTGCGATATATTTGTGATCCTTTGTTAATACGCCATGAATATCGAACGAACGCACTTTTGTATAATGCATTTGGTTTCGTGGTACGGCCGCTTGTATATTTCTTTGGCCAAATTTAACATTTAGTGATGTATACGTTAGGCAACACTGTTCTCGATTCTGATCGATTTTGAAAACAAAGGGACGAAAATTATTATGACCCTAGCAATATTATAAAAATATTCTATAACTCTTTTGTTATAACGTTTCGTTTTTTTTTTCAGTTTTGTAGTATCTATTATCAGTAGTATCCGTAATTTCGATAATATTTGCAGCACGTTGCCTCGAATGTCCGAATATAGTGAGCAAATAATTACATACATCGCCGGATATGTAGTACGAGTAATACAAAAAAATATATAATGGAAAGAATTAACAGTGCGCTGTCTTTACAAAAACCTGGAGTTGGTCATATGTATGAGTTCGTTGCTTTCGAGGACGAAGGTGGTCTAGTTTATTCCACCTAAGATGCTATCCGAATATGCAGAGTAGCAGAGTTAGAAATCCGAGAAATAATAAACAAATCACAAAAATTTCACTCGAGGCCGTCATTAAGGAAACCTCCTCTGATTAATAAGATTTTACTATATTTTGTCAGCAATAAAATTGTCATTGTCTTGCCCGTCATCAATTTGATCAATTACCAACAGAAAACGATCTAGTAAAATTAATTAAGGCAGTCGCAAGTTCATAATATTGACGTGCGTATTCATTATTTAAGTTAATCGATAAGATCTTCTATTACAAAAAGATGTTATATAAATGAACTCATTTTATTGGAAGGACAAGAATTTCAATATTCGCGTATTCCGTTCAATCGATTTAGAGCGAGCGGAAGGAGATTTCCATCACTAAATAGCTCTTGTAACGTCATAGTGGGTACAAAAAATGTGGCACGCTTGGTTTTTAAACAAATTGCTGTACTTGCGGCGTAGCTAGATATATGTCTGTGGAAATGACTTTTGCATACGCCACAGTCGCACACATAACATTTATTAAAATTGTTTTGACTATCAAATGTACGCTTTGTTTTTTTATTCTTATTCTTAATTAATATTTCTTTCTTTTTGTGTTGTGGCGTTGTAAAAATATTTTTTTTTATAAAATCAACGGACGGGACGTAAAAGTCATGCGCCTGATGGTAAGCGACATGCTTGTCCATAAGAGTTGCAGTGTCACTCAGACCTTTAAATCGCAAAGATCTGAGGGTCCCTGAGAGATAAGTTGACAAGTCCCTGTAATGTCACCAGCACCCGTAATCTTCAAAACCGGATCAGAGTACTGACATTACTGCTTGGCGGCAGAAATTAGTAAGGTGGCAGTACTTCCCTGGACGAATTCTTTCTAAATAACAATCGAACCTTCTGCTTTCGTTCATTTGAAGTTTGTCTGTCAGGAAACCATCCCAATCGTGGAATGCCGCGTGCGCTACCTGTCGTTCCTGGGCATCGGTCGCGACGTGCGACGCTGCGCGTTCATCGTACATACCGCGCAGGACCTCTTCGTCGCGCACGCGTTCCACGCCGAACCGTCGTCTGGGGCTCTATGCAAGACTATCGAGGCTGCTTGCAAGGTTCGTTTTTTGGATACGTTTCTAAACTAAGTATAATATTATATATTAAATAACATCACACACATACGTTGCTTTGTTCTATTCTATTTTATTAGGCTTGGGCCTGACTGTGGGAAACTGAAAATCTTATTGCCCTTCTCATTTAATTATTTGAACTCATGAATTTATACATAATTACTCACACTCACACACACAGGCACAGACACTCTCTCACACTTACATACATACTCATGCTCGCGCTCGCTCATCAACACGTACGTTTATAGCATAATTGATAGTATTTAAATTTTTATTGCTCAACAGTATATTGCTTTTTTCTTTTAAGAATGGTATAATAACGAACGTAATAACGAACACACTCAACATAGCCCTGCACTAGGGAAACCCTGTGTCGCGGGTGCCATGGACACACACGTAGACAACCACAAATTACACCCAAACTCACGAGAGAAATAAATGTAGGCCATACAAATATTTCTCCTGACCCGGGAATCGAACCTGGGACCTCTGCATGGCAGTCCGACATAGTAAGTCCGTTTGGCCACAGAGGCAGTTATTGACGGGCCTGGTGAGCTGTAATACCTACAGCATTACAGGTTTAGTTGCCTAGTACAATCTCCAGTTTCTCACAAGGGATACCTTTTAAAATTGTTAGTCTATTATAAAATAAGTGTATATTTATTTGCTTGTGTTGAGAAAATAAACCATTATTATTATTATTAATGTTGTCAGTTAATATTGATCAATAACGCCAACGTTTCGGTAGCACCAAGGTATTTCTTTTTAGATGAAACTCTTCAACTGTACGCTGTTGTGGAGATCATACCTGGGGTAAAAAAATTATCATGGACAAACAACGGACTAAAGCATTACATTATTAGAGCATATAATATCGCACAAAATGTTAATAAAGGGAGAATACATATAAAGAAGGAGGGATTTAAGGTTAATAGGACGAGGAATGAAAGAAGGAAGGAGGTCATACAAGGAGGAAGTCAATTTAGGTCATTCAAAGAAAATGTGATCAGGGGTACTTCCTCCAGACCACATTCACATAAAGGTTGCTTTGATCCCAAATTATAGTCTATCTTTTTTGAAGACGGAGTAAAATGACATTTGTATGTTGGGTTGCCAGTTTTCATAAAACTTTAAATAGTTATGTAAGTAGTTGTTGTCGATAGTTTCATCGATAGATTATGAAAGATAAAATTTTGCCAAAAATAACTTTATGCTTATTTTGACAGTACTAATATTAAGATAAATGTTTATTCATATTTATAGATTTTAACAAGAATAGCCGGATTTGATTATCTGTATTGAATTAAAATAAAAAACTTTAAGATATGTGTCTCCTCTTTGTATTTTTCATAAACATAGCCCTAAATATAGTGTTTGTTTGAACTTATAAAAACTGACAATTCAAATGAACTTGTGCTCTGTAATTGTATGAATATTTATTCCATAAGCGTGTAGAACTCATTTTACCCCCTCTTCAAAAAGCACTTGTGTTATGGAAAGTAATATAGGAAATAATATATAAAAGTTAGTTTTTAACAATAACAATGTACAAAAATTCGTTTGTACATTGACTCGGCCGGGGATCGAACCCGGGACCTCAAAGATGGCAACACTAAATGTTCAAAATTACAATCTAAAGTGAAAAAAGAGGCGACCCATCATCGCCGTAGCAATGAAAGCTTCCCGATTTATTATGTGGCATTACTTCACATATGAAACCAAATACTGTCCCTAACTCAATATTTTTGGAATTGAGAAAGCACAATTTGAAAATCAAAAAATAAATACTGAACGGGTGTTATTGTAAATAATGTGATTATTTTTATTTATACATTTAAATATCCATTTATAAACGTGAATGTACTTTTTTTTTCACAATTCCATAGTTTTGAGTAACGACAGTGTTTGGTTTCAAGCGCGACTCGGTGACTTATAACGTTGTTGAATACACGCGCAGCGTATTCAACAACTTTACAAAGAGCGAAAAGTGCCTTGGCATGAGAAATCCCTTCATTTGGTGGCGAATTTATCTGAACAATTGAATAACTGAGTTACCCAGCCGTGCCATAAGGAGTAAAGTGAGGGGCTTGCAGCTGCGCTACCAGAAGTGCCTGGACGCGCACGGCGGCGCGGCGGCGCTGGCCGGCGCGGGCGCCGCGGGCGACCAACGCGGCTCGCTGGGGCAGGCGCTCAAGTCCTTCGTCGGCAGCCTCACGGGCCGGCGGGCCTCCTGAATCCCCACGGGTGCGCTGCACTACACAGGTGAGCCCGACTGCAAACCTTTGGACCTGGCACTCTTTACATTATTCATCATGAATCACAGAAATCTAAATAGGCAATAGAAGTCCCATACCTACGGTGGCATTGTCGTCGCTATGGTGTCGCATAGCACATCAATGCTCGAACTCTTATTTAGTAACAGTGTGTAAAAATGGTGTAATATACAAAATACGCTGTAATATACCAAAAAGAGAATTACATTTCTAGGTCTTTTAATCGTATCGACCAAGCCAGATTCCTAAAGTTCATGAACAACGAAGTGTCGACCATAGATTATACTCCGTTTCAATCCATTATGTAAACAAACAAGTCACTGACCCAACCATAGACGGTTTAGTGATGGCCAATTTTAATGCCAACCACAAATCCATTGATTAATTGAATAAATCGAATCTGCTATATATAGCTCCTCGTGTTCGTCCAGGGAAGTACTGCCACCTTACTTATTTCTTCCGCCAAGCAGTAATGTAATGTATATGCGTGCAGTAATGTGTTCGGGTTTTGAAGGGCAAGGGGTGCTGGTGAAATTACAGGCATATGGGACTTGTCAACTTAAGTCTCAGGGTGGCACAGCCGCTGCGCCCGTCAGATCTTTGCGATCTTAAGCTCTGAGTGGCACTGCAACTGTTATGGACAGGCGTGTAGCTTATCATTAGATGATTTTTTTTATAATATCAATAAAAAAATATACTTAAACGAGGTAATAATTGAGATATGCATAATAATTTCCTTGGTAGTTTTATTATGGCAACATCGATTGTTAGTGATTGAAGGAATGAATGCCATTACTGCCATTCCACTGACACTGAGACCGGTGTTGCCAGATTAATAGATTTTTCGCCTTCAAGGCTACTTCGAGGGGTCGCGCGGCGACTCGGCGATATTTAGGCTATGTTTGAAATAGGAAAAAGCTAGTTTAGGCTACTTAATAAAATGTCTGGGGAATTGAAAAATTTGATTGGGGATTCTGTGGGGAATGGAGTTGTAAAATAATTCATTTTGAGGGTTTGAGTATTTCTACGTGTCTTAACACGCATAAATTGACGAATTAACTTCACAAAAGTCTGGCAACACTGATTGAGACTGAATTGCTATTGTAACAAGATTTTAATTTTAGTAAAATAACAGATCGCACATGACAACTCACATAGTATTATCGCAAAATGGCTTTAATTTCTATTAATATTTCCTATTTAGTTTCAAAGCGACAGCATTGTCCTGTCACTTTGAAATTAAATCGTATATGAATGACACATCCTTAGAATAATAACGCATAGAATGATAGTTTCATATCAAACGAACTGTCACAAGTGAGGCAAAAATCAAATTCATGTAGGCTAGTTTTAGTAGTAGGTTTATTTTCGGTTTTAGTGAATATTGATATAAAAATACAAGTTGAAACGCGTTACTTCCTTGTGGAATGTGATGTTAGTATCTATTTTATGTTTGTCTGACGTATTTTTCACTCATTTACCGCACATTTCGTCATTTTTAGCTAAAATTCTTGAGCTGGTCGCGATGCAAGTTGACCTTGAGCACTGAAGACCCGCCCGCTCGTGTAGGCCCTTTGGGAGCGCTTCAATTTGCCTCACTTAGCGTGTGCGGACTAGGTTTCTATGCGTTATTATTCTAAGGACACATCAGTATACGAAATTTTGGAGATCAATTATTAACATAACGCAATTTTGAGATAAAATATAATATAACGCAATTTTCGAGATAATACTATGTTATATGTGGAGTAATTTCACAAAAAATAATTGAATATCAATTCAATAAAAAATTAAAATAGGTTGGAACTAGGTTTGACCTGTACTATAGGTCACCGGGTATCTACCACCCGATCTTAATGATACAATATTATGATGTTTTTTGTAACTACTAAGACGTTAAGGGTACATTGGCGTGATGATTATAGAAAATACACTATTTATTTATTATTTTGAGAAAAGGAAGTACGAGAAGTTAGTATCAATAGAAAAGTTAGTAAGTGTGATAGGAAAGTGATTATATGTGAATATTATGAGTGAAGAAAATGTATAATGAGTTCAGGGATAGCATGCCTACTGCTACGTCCGCTTCCTATAACCAAGAGCGGTATTTCCCCCTTTTCTCTTGTCTTTTTTGTTTCTTGGCCAATCATCAGATTATTATTTCAATGTCTCTCTCGATTTCAGATAAATCCTCTGCAAGCCCAGAGGTGCTCCGTGGTCGTCGCACCGCTGCAGCCATGCTTCATCACAGGCGGTAACCGCTCTTCTGTATCGTTTTATTTCCAGCTTGAATATACCGTTGGAATTTCCTCAATTATTTCATGTAATACTTACGACACAAACGTTAGAATGCAAAATGTGACACCTGTTATAGGCAGACAATTGACTCAGAAAAGTAAAAATTTCTGAAAAAAGAACTGTCTTAAACGTTGGTGGTTTCAAATTTCTATCTATTAATATTGTGTAATTTTTGTAAGCATTTCCACCAAGAGTAGTCTCGAACTACATTTTACACGCCGATTACGTCCCCATTCTTTTTCTCAACAAGTGCTTATAAATTTCATTTGCTATCACTGCATCATAGAAGATGTTTAATATTAAAATGGTTGTATAAATTGATAAATAAATATACGTAAAGGAAAATAGATTTTCAATCGATATTCGTAACAAAAGTGACAATAATCACGTATTGAATTTTAAAATTGACGGAAGTATTGTAATAAATCTAAAATTAATTATTTATTAAAATAAACGGAATCATCCCTTAATGCCACCCTTAAAGGCAGAATATTCTCTTCAAATTCGAATGAGACCACTACTTAGGTTCCCCCTTTCTAGCAAAAAAGAATCATGGGTTGGGTTTAGCAGAAATGGGTTCATAAACGTGGGAGTTATCACGTAACGAAAAAAAAAAACAGTCGAATTGAGCATCTGTTAAAAATGTAGACTGTAAAACTCTTGGTGGAAAATGACGTAGGCACACATTTTTCAGGAACGATACAGAAGACGAATTGACGAATTCAGTTGTTTTTGTTCAGTTTGGACGTAATGTTAAGGTGCGAAGGTCTAGAATTTGTAATAAAATGGCAAATTAAATTTTACAACGCTAGTTTTTGTGACATTCGCGATACATTTCATATATAAATTCGACTGCATCCGCATACATATCTATTAGTTTTTTATACTAAAACTCACATGTAGGGATCATAGTTGCCCAACAACATGGTCTAGCAAAATATTTTTACCACAAAAATTATGGTAATTATATTTTGTTACTGCGGGATAATGAAAGTAACATTTATTGTCAAAAAGTTTGAACAGCTATAATAGAAAAAAATTATGTCATGGCGAATGACGTCCTGTCGATGATGTAAAGGAGATCAGGAGATGCGCGGTCATGATGTCTTTGGATAAATGTTATGTCTCATAATTCCTGTATCTGTATTAGATACTAAAGTCAAAAGCTTGTAGCGTTGTAAAAATAGCATTAAATTATGGTAAAATTCGTAATTTTTAATTTGATTAATATTTCGGTTGAAATATAATGTAAGAGAAGTCAAAATAAGCTTGACACGGCATAGTCATAGTGTATAGATTATTCTAGTTACAGGCCTACCGCTTCACTGTGTCGGTTCCTGAGGTAGCGCGGTGTGGGAGGAGTGACACGTAATAGTTATGTCGCGCTCCACACGGGATAGCTTCAACAAGATTTTTCTGACGATATTCAATAGCAAGTTGAATGAAAAAAGTTGCCTATCAAATTAGTCAATTGTTGATAATTGAAACGATAATAAAAAAAAACTATTTCATAGATAACAGAAGTTAATAGACAAGCCAGTTTAGCCACTTTTTTCAACTTGTTATTGAATATCGTCAGCAAAATCTTGTTGAAATTGTCCCGTGTGCAGCGCGACATGACTGTTACGTAACCTGTCACTCCTCCCTCACCGCGCAACTATCTCAGGAACTGCCTCAGTTAAGCGGTAGGTAGACCTGTAATATGGTATTTTTAAGTATTGTATTCTGTTGACAAGTTAAGAGTGAACGTTGAGTTACCAAAGAGATTTGCGGCAATACTACAACCATATAGTTAGGTAGTAATGGATTTATAACCACAGGGAAGTTGTAGCCGTGTGCAATAGTTAAAAATATAATTATATTAAAATTAAATAGGTATTAAAAATAAGCAATATAATACTTCATTTTTTTCTGAGTTGTGGGCCATGTTTTTGAAAAATTTGTAAACTGTCTTTTTGTACATTTTCTCTGCACTTCCAACTGTTATTTTTTTATATACAATTTCAATTTGTTAGAAACTACTGAAATGTGGTTTTTGGTCTCCATAAAATGTTATAGTTACCTTAAAAATTCCTAGTCCATAGTAGTTTAATGCTTATGTAAATTTGCCCCCATATTTATATATAAAATACTTTCTTCTGTGTGTGAAGTCACAGATATCGGTGTTAATTTAGAAATTTGAATGTAAAATTACTTAAGACAAAACAATATAGTATTAATCGGTTTGACGTTACTTGAAATCGGTGGAAATTGTAAATAATTTGTATACTTAATTTGTTTAAAATGTAGAATAGTTGAATGGAATTTCGAGAGCAGTGTATCTAGTTAATTTTCCAGCTAGTTTTACCAAAATAATTGTATGTGGGACTCCTGGTGAAGGAAATATGCTACATACACTATAATCACGTGTTTGAAACCAATAGGACAATCTGCAGTCTTCTGATTGGTTAATAATGACGTGATGTCACTATCGCGGGCTTTGATTGGTCAGAGCGCCGTGATTTTGCTACCATAGATCATACGCAGCTTAATAACAACGCTAGCTGGAAAGCAAATTTCGGTGTTGAGCACGGTATGAACTAGTAATAAGATTTGGTATCTGTTACTACGCGTTGGATATAGCATAGATATAGGATCCCTATTATAGAATGAAGAGTTTATTTTTGCTTAGGCTTTAATAAATATATTTAAATTGGATTGCGAAAGAAGAATATATTTTATATGTCACTGCATTGAGTATATCTATTATCATATTTACAAGTAGTCTATCTAAATTAAGCTTTTGGGGGATTTACAATTATTGTTTCTTTGGGCACTATTTTCCATAAGTTTTTTTAATATAATAGGTGTTTAGCTTATTTATGGATTTCCTGTTGAATACTTACTTTCCTATAATTTATTATTCCCGGTTTCATAAAGGGTGTTAGAAACACATTGAGCTTGAAATACATTGTACAATTTTAATAGCTGGCATATTATTAAATGCAATAAAATTCCGCTACACCCAAAGCGACCATCTTGTTTTTACATGTAAAACAAAATGGCCGCTTACACGTGGCATTGCAGCTTTTTAACAGTTGGCAGATTTATTGTAGATTAAACGGTGAAAATCTTTAAGCGATTGGAATACCAACAAAGCATGAAAGCCTTTGTCAACTCAGTAGTGTTCTTTGAACCAAATGTTAATCATATTGAACTGGGACCCACAGATTTCGAATTAACTGAAATAAGTTCCAATGACATGAAGGGTAGGTTATATATAAATTGTTTTGTGTCTGTAACACTTCAATAAATAATTTAAGTAATTGTAATTCTTGGCAGGAAGAATGATCTATCATTAACGTCCAAGTAGTGATTTTTCTGAATGCCTCGATTCTTGTTTTGAATTTCAATTAGTAGAAAAATCCTCTTTTAAAATTAAGTACATTTTTGCTTTTCAATGTTAGATCATTTTCACCTGCTACGTTAGAATAAGGCGTTCGAATTAGAAATCACAAACTAGCTTCAAAGTATATTTCAAAAATATTAGAATCAGTGTCGCTTCTCACTCTATATGAATAAATAAATAAATAATAATCAGTATAAATGATACACGGAGCTGTTCTATTATACGTAAATCATAGTGTTATTCACACGTTAAATGTAAGTATTAAAAAGTCATTATTTATACAAGATTATGATATAAAATTGATGATAATATATATAATGGAATATGTGCGAGTGGCTAAGTGTCAAACAATTTAAGATTAATTATCGTAACTAAAAAGTAATTTTTTAAGATTTGGATTAACCAACTAGTAACTCTATTGCTGTGGAAAACTTGTCTCTAAAGTTCAAGAGTCGACTAACAGTAAAACTTGTTGGTCCCCTAATCAACTAAATACAAAAAGGTAGTAAAAATTGGCAAGAAAGCATGACCATTTACCTACATTATGTTAATTTCAGTGTGCTTAATTGTAATTCTACAACAATCATTGTGTTTTTCACTGTTTTAACACTACAGTTAAGTGTGGAAAATAACTCTGTTAGCACAACGAAATTAGAATAATGTGCAGGGCTGTAGCAAATATTTTCAAATCTGATCACAAACAAAACGTTAAAGCGAATATCTTGCTCATTCGCACACATTCCCTAGACGCAATAGATGTGACAACGCAAGCTTCGACTGCCTTTATCGGATGAAGTGTGTGAATATTTTCTATAAAATGTAACGTTTATATGTAGTCTAAAATCATACTTCTTTACAAATGCCTTATAATTACAAAGATCGTTACAATTCAAACGGATTAACATACTTGGGCTTTCATCTCGGGAGTTTGTCTCGAAAGTCTCGACGATTTTTTGATATTTTCAGGACTCGTAACTGATGATTTAGTCTCGGAAATTCGTCAAGTCATTTAATTATACAGTATTTTTAAAAATCTACTAAAACAATAGTATTTTTTTATTTTGGTTACATGAACATGGCAACACTGTAGAGTGGAGACAGTATAATTTAAGGATATTGAAGAATGATGGTAATAAAATCAGATGCTCTATCTGAAACTGCTTTGAACGCCCTTTATTTCTTTCGTGTTAGAAAAATTTAAAAAGTCATTCATTTTTGACAATTTGATTAAAATATCATGTTGACTACCCAACTGCCTAGCTTATAAATACGAAAACCTACTTTTGAGAGTCTCGAAAGTCTCGTATTTTCCAAGATTTTCGAGACCACACCGAGTCTCGATCTGTAATGCAGCGAGATTGGAAGTCCTAGTAAAAACGGTAATAAAATACAGCGCCATCTTGCAGAATTTTAGAGAAGGTACTTCATGTGTATCATTGATGTCAAAAATCAATGGGCATTTTTTAGTTAAATTATGATATATAAAGATCCTTGCTTAGAGTAGAGTTATCCACAATTCTGGATATTGTTTTTAAATACCATCATAGTTACTTTGTTATTATATTAATAAACATTGAACTTAACACTGTAGGTATATGAACTTTGTAATCAAAAGATATTTGTAAAGAATCAAAAAGTAGGTAGCTTTGGATTCCTGTTTTCTAGCTCACTGTTGGACGATATGAAGTATAACGTTGTACCGTTGCTTTAACAGCTTAAAAGCCTTGAAAACTGTGGCTTTTAATGAATACTTTTGTGAAATTAATAAAAAAAATATTCGTAAATACGTTGTTTGGTCTTAACCTACACTATGGTAATACGTTGGTGACCATACTGCCCTCATTGTCATAAGTAACGCTAAAGTGTTATCGTTACTTATAAAAATGTCAGTTACTCTGATTTTGACTAACAATAAAGTAGTAGAAACTAAAAAGATATCGAGTTCCCAGGATTTCTACAATTAGAAAAAATCCTACATCCGGTTGGATGCGAACTAAATTCTTCCAGCAAATTTGTATTACATTGACGAGCTGCAATATCAAAGATACTCTAATTTCTAGTCATTACAAACAAATAAACTAGATGGTGCTTTATGTGGATGCTGCCGGCTATTCTTTTATTTTGTTTAGAATTAGCGCCATCTACCCATGGCGTGCCTTATTCCATCGTGACTATGGGTGAGGCTTTGAAATTTGACCAGCCAGGTAAAAAGTCGCTATTTAGTCGGTTCTAGTCACAAAAAAACTAGATTTAGTCGGTCCGCTATTCAAGTTATAAGGTTGTTTTACTGTCTACGCTGGAATAAGCTTATCCCGGCGGCACCATTTTTGAATCACGAGAAACACAGCTCCTAGCTTCGATCTGATTGCACCCAGGAAGTCGTTAATTAGTCGGTCCCAGTCGAGAAATTTTAAATTAGTCGCTCGGTTGTTTAGAAGATACAACCGATTTATTATATCAGGGTTAGTTTCAGAGCTTATGCACAAATTTTGCATAGTATACAGAATTTGTGTAACGTACAAACTAGATACGAGTCAAAATCTTCCGCGGGATGCGGTGACCGTCAGGATAGCTAGTCGTATCTGGCACTGAGTCTATATTCAAGAATAGAAAAGTGCATGATTAAATTAAAAAAGCAAAAGTTTTTAGTGCTTTATTGCCATAATACAAACGGCAGGCATTGGTACTTCTTCGTAAAATTTTCAATCGTTTATATTTTTTTTAACTAATGTAGATAGGAAGCGTATACCTTTAATTCGTGAAGGTAGCAATTATTAGTAATACATACTTCAGGAAAATCTGCTCCCTTCGTGCTGAACAAAGTGGCGACCAGCCATCGTGACGTCAGAATGGCTGGTCAATTTTTTTTTTATTTCTCAGAATATATCAAAGGTAGCAATTATTAGGAAAAGGTAGCAATTCTTGAATATACACTCAGTGCCAGATGCGACCAGCCATCCTGACGGTCACGGAATGCTCGAGCATTCTTCCATTCCGTTCCGCCGCAACTTTTACTGCCTCCGTGACCGAACGGTTACCATGCCGGACTGCCACGCAGAGGTCCCAGGTTCGATTCCCGGACCGGGAGAAATGTTTGTATGGCTTACATTTATTTCTCTCGTGAGTTTGGGTGTAATTTGTGGTTGTCTATGTGTGTGTCCATGGCACCCGCGACCCAGGGTTTCCCTAGTGCGGGGCTGTTGAGTGTGTGCGTTATTTATATTATTTATTATTTATAATGTATATTGAGCCTTATAAGCCTGTTGAACGGCGGAACGACTAAATCTAGTTGTTTGTGACTAGAGCGGATTGAATAGCGACTTTTTATCTGGCTAGTTAAATTTTGAAAACTCGACCTTGGTCACGGTGGAATAAGGCGCGCGTTTCCGAGTTACGATCTTGTATGGAGAGAAGCAGACCTCTGGAGTTACAGAATTAGCACTACTGAGGACACTCGGACCGGCTCAGACTTAGAAATTTGTTGTCAAGGACATAAGCAGGAAAAAAACTACATTTACTATTCATTATAAAAATTTACTCATAATATACAATGGGCATAATTTGGACTTTCCGATTAGACTTTCAAATACGTACATAATTTCCGCCCGCGGCGGACGATCGTGACAAAATAAATAAAGCTACGTCATGGGTGATTAAAAATGGACAACATTCTCCACTAATTTATTTAATATAACAAGACTGAGATGAGCTACAGGTGGCTCAGGGTCGTATTCTAGAACTCCACTCAATGCTCAAGTCAGGACTTGAGTATGATTCAAAACACTAGAAATCATTAGGGTCGTATTTCCAGTGCTTGAAATTATACAAGTCTGCTCAAATCCTGACTTGAGCATTGATTAGAGTTCTGGAATACGACCCTTAAAGTGCTATGACGACAATAGGTCGTATGAATTTGCCTTATTACAGCATGAACAATATGCGCATGAGTTAGTTACAAGAAGTAAAAAATACTGGTAAATGAAGAAAACAAATTATTCGCCTCCGACTCCTGTTAAATATAGACGTCTGACGTTGTTTACGAGCATTTTTTTTAATATCGATAGTTATTTTTAATATCTTTAAAAATGAAAATAAATTTACATCGCTTTTTTAAAATTCTGACTGAAAAAGTTATTTAGATAGTTCAATTTAGAATTTCATGTCGTATGTTATGACCATAACAAATCTTTTCTATCAAAATGTTTAGTAAAAATTGATACGACCTCGAATTCTATTTTAAAATTAAATTTTAAAAACGAAATTAATGCCATTTGAAAAATGTATATTAGTTCTATTTAGCTTAGTCGATATTAAAAAAATCATTGTTTTTATAAAGTACCTATCGAAAACAGCGGTTTTCTTTCGAGGTAAGTTTGTTTTTATCTATCCTCAATTTTACTATTTTTTTCCAAAGTGAATCAAGCAAAGCCTTTTGAGGTTGTATAGACTCTTTAAGTCTCAATTTACATTGCACCACATCGGCATAAATAGCGAATTTTTATAAGGAAATTGTACATTGCATAATGAACTGTATGTAAATTGTGTAACGTTCAAACTAGATACTATACGGAAGCGGAGGCAATTCCCGAGCCTGCGCAAGAATTTTCCGGACGCCGCGCGAATATTTTTAGCTCTTATGTAGTTTGTACGTTAGACAATTGACAATCTTCATTACGCTATGCTTACAAAAACTCGCTTTCGCAGTAAATGTGCCTAATTTTGTAAGGAATGGAATGTGAACTAATCAGTTTAATTGGTCTGAAACTAGGAGGTTCCCTGTACTATTCCTCCGTCCAACAATTTTTTTAACTTTTGACAAGCATGCCTACGCAGTTGCAATATTACATAGAAGCGTTTTGTCTTTACTATAGTGAAACGACGTGCTCTTTAGCTCCGATATTTGTCGAGGCGACAGAATATGTAAGGAAGACTGTCCAAGTTGATAATTTTGGTACCTGCCTAATAAATTATAATGAAACGAAATAAATTATTAATAATCAAAATATAGTTATTTTTGATACAAGTGCGGATAGTTAGTCATTGTTCACGAGTCTCGAGGCATCGAAGACTCGAGACAAGTGAAAATGACAAATCCGCATGTGTATCAAACAACGTTTTTTAATACATTTGCGAAAAACCTACATTGAAAGTAAAATAAAACAGTATTTAAAAGAAACCTCATTTTATTCCTTTGTCAATAACAAAATCAAATCGTAAAAAAGTTAATGAAAAAGGCGGGAATGTAAACGATGAAAAAAATTAGTACTTTTTTTGGCCGACTTTTTTCAATATGGCAACTGTTGCCAGTATTCAGCCACATTAAAATTACTATTTTATATTACTTTATTTTCTACATAATCGCTACTAAGGAGCATTTACTTCATAGGTGTAAAAATGCGGTCTCTCCATAGATATAGTATAGTAATGACGAATGACTTACGTCACAAAGCACATAAATATGAAATAAATATACAATCTCTTTAGTTCTATGTTTAAGACTTAAAACAACAGTAAATTTAAAAAAAACTGGAAAAGTAAAAAGCACTAGTGCGAGAAATCCAACTTTCCGCACGATTTGCAGTGCGAAAAATACCACGTTTTGAGCAACTGTGTTAAAAAATTATTTTCGTTTATTATAATGAATCGTCGGATTCTTTTCCATACGAACGGGAACCATCACTTGAACCCTCAGTAACATTGAATATTAATTCTTGAGTACACAAATTGTCAAACTCGTTTATATTCACGATTAAAATTTCTTCAGAAACAAAATCGATTGTTATAAAAGTCGATGCGGAAATGCATTAGGACACTAATTGATTAGAATTCGATGTCAAAAAAATGGTTGGACGGAGTATATGAGTACTAGAGCAACTACCCAGAACACCTAAACCAGAATCAATTTGCAAAAATTCTTTTCCTAAATTGGATCTGGAATCGAACCTGGAACTAACTCATTTACCCCCCACGGTGCTAACAGTTGGACAACCGTGGTCCTCTAATTTACATAATTGCAATTATTCAAAATTTGTACGGTGCACGGTAATTGTAACAGAATTTGTAAATGCATACAATTTGTGCGAAGTTTAGCGTCTTGTATTTAGTGATTTTAAAAATTTACTCAAAGATTTTTGTCCTGTTTTAAACACCCAGTGGAAGTCTCACAGTTACTTCGTATATTCAATTATAGTTTACTGCTCCACAGGTGCGTTACACCGACAGAAAACAAGAATTTTGATTACATCAGGCTTATGTACCCTCTCAAAACTGTCACATTTTTAACTGTAAATTGTGAAAGGGTACAAAAATTAATTATATAAAGGCTTTGAATTTGAAAAGCCAAAGACATCTTTGGCTCATCATGGCCAATTATCGTTGTCTATCCATTTCGTTTAAGAATACATAGTAATATATTCGACTTTGTGTGAAAATGTCCATTTTATTTTTTACTTTAAAATACATGCAACATCTGTAATATCAATACACGAATATATAAATTGCTACATACCATAATTTAAATAACGCATTGACCATTATATTTTCAATTAGTCGCTGTAGATGATAGACTTTTTGCAGGAAAAACGATCAATAGCACGTCAGTGAATGTTTGTTCAACGAAATGTAGACTGTCTGTCCAACAAAATATCGACCGTCTGTCCAACAAAATGTCGACTGTCTATCCAATTTTGTCGTCTGTCTGTCCAACAAAATGTCGATTATCTCTTCAATTTTGTGATCTGTCTGTCCAACAAAAAAATCTGCGTTAAAAAATCTCGACAAAAGAATGAAATGAACGTTAAAATATGAACGCATAATGTAGTGTGTGCAAATTTTCTATCGGTGTATTACGTACATGAGATTACAATACTGTTGATAAAAATAAAAGCATCACAACATAAAAATAGAAATGAGGAAGATTTAAAACAAAAGATAACATTTTGAGCAATATGTTCAACACATGCAACGTGATTTCATATACATTTAGAATGAATATTTATGAATTGTGATGAAAAAAAATTATTTACAACTTTGATACCGCATTCACAACTTTCGTCAGAATATTCTGAAACTCGTTAGCAATTCATATTATTGCATACAACAATTTAAAGTAGTGGAGCAGTAGTTTGTGTGAAACATAATACAAATACAGTTTTCACATAAAAAATATCAGGTGTCTTTATAAACTTATACAAAATCAAACTCCGTAAAGTACAACAAGTGATGTTTTGATTTTGTTGATGCTTGCGAATGCAACGTTTACGATTCATAATCCAGTTATAACTGACCACCTTTAAGGTTATTCATGGGCGCAATTATGAACTTTAATGAATAGTTGAAAGAAATATGTGTTCAATAATTATTTGGATAGCTGGACTAATATCTAAACAGGGCCGCTAATGGCGATACAAGACGGCGTAGTACCTATTTGTTTTACATTGTAGAGCTGCAATTTATCAAAGCCCCTCTAATTTCTAGTGATAACAAAGAAATCAACTAGATGGCGCTCATTGAACTGATTTTTGTGGATAGTGGCGGCTATTTGTTTAGGATTAGCGCCATCTACCTATAATAGGAAGCGTTAATTTATAAATTACTTTATTTACACGCACATTTGTCGACGTTCAGAAAATAATTTTAGCACAATCAATATTTGAATAATATTATAAGGAAATAAACGCAAAATAGGCGCCTTGACGTCGAGTTGCGGACACCAGCCCCCCCAGTCTGATCTAATTTAGATACGTCGGGTAGTTATGAACTGAGAGGTGTTAGGCAAAAGAACAGTTGGGTTAAAATTATGCCATCAGGCAGCGCCCTAGTGATGTAACGTCGAAAGAATTTATTCACAAAACGATTTAATAAAAACAAGTTTCTAAAGTTAAATATATTAAGCAACAGCTCTTACAGCGCATCGTAACCAAAAAGACACAAATAAGCTAAATTGGTTGTAATAAATTGTCATCTGCGCGTGCGATGGTAGCTAACAATAACAAACCGATTGTATTGTTGTTTACAGCATTATATTTCAACGCCTCAGTTCATAAGAGCCCCTCTATCAAATTGTTTTACTACGATATTGCTATCCTGTACTTTAACGTCCTCTTCGACATTAATATAAAGGTTTTTTAGCTCATTGACAATTATATAGAAATAGTAAGCCAAGGTACGCCGCAAAGGTCGTCGTACATATACTTTGGGCAGGTGTAATGAATTACAAACCAAGTACAAAAGAACAAAATAAAAGAGAAAATGTAATGTACCTTTTAAAGGCACAACGTTGCATTGACAAGCACCGTGGCTGAGGCCGTAGAATAAATATACTATTATCGACTCAACAATGCTCTCTCGCTTAGTACAAGTGCTGCCGTGGTTTCAACCTGTGAAAGAAGAAAACTTGTTATTTTCTAGCTGTTCTTAGAAAAAAAACATGGTCATAGACGTAACCTTCTAGTATGGTGGTCACGGTACATACCAACACCCATCCTATTTTTTATCATACAGCAGTAAAGATGGCATTCACTCACTCACACATTCGAGTTTTCATTAGTTTTTATCTCTGGGTGACGGGTGAAGTGGCAGTGCCCCTCATAAAGCTCTGAATGGCACTGCAACTGTTATGGATAGGAGAGTCGCTTGCCACCAGTAAAAAACTCGATACTTTGCTGAAAACGTGCAAACTGTGTTTCTCTTCCCCCAAAAGATGGAATAATAGGAACAGTCATCTTGTTTTTTATAACAGTTTTGTAATGTAGCCTCGTGTTCCATTGACTTACAAATAAATGGACGACGGGTCTAATACAAAAACCACGAAAAAAAGTCCCAAGTCAACCTATTTAAACGTAGTGACATGTCAAGGAATATGAAAAAGCTAAAACGTTGAATTTAAATTGTAATGTCATCGCAGTACTGTCTAATTTTGCTTGCTTCGCTGTCAGTCGAACAAACGAAGACTAGAGCGTGAATGACGCTCTGTATACGATTTTAACGCCCTATAAGTTCAGACACTTTTTAGCGCGGACCCGACGTCCATATAATTGTAAGTCAATGTCGTGTTCTCAAGATTTCATAACTGTCAAAGAACAATGGCGAACTTCTATGTAAATTTTTGCTGACATAATTTGCATGCGTCTACGTAGAAAAATACGCGAAAATAAATAATTTAAATTCTTGAACAAATTTGGTACTGACTTTACTATTCTGAAATCCGGAATTAAAAATATTCCAGTTTGTAGTTTTGGACTTTATATTGAATAAAATATATTCGGTGTATTATTATATCAAAATAAACTACAGAAGCCTTAAACAGAGTTAATAGAAGTTGAATGGTGACGTGGGTTCGTGACTGGAAACATGCCATCTATCTCTGACAACGGGAACTTTTTCCCTGTCCCTTTCACCACTTTCTCGCGTGGCATATTTGGTGGAGGAATTATCTACAGTATTTTTTGCCAATAGAGTAGATAATATCATATAGCAAATCGGTCGAATCAGTACATTTGATATTACGTGAACTAACTTAACGTGGACCAATCTACATATATGTAAGTATTGAAAATCTCTTTTTGGCGGTTAGATGTTGCTCAACCTCAAGAAACTAAGAAACTGACAGTTGTAGATATCAGTCCGGTTAACATATTAATAAATAATTTGAGTTTCATTTTAACATGATTTCTTTTTATCAGACTTAGACAGGCCTTTAGTATGATTTGAAAAATGTTACAAATATATTTCATTCAATCTTCTAATTATGACTTTTAAGACGCTAAAGAATTATTTTCACAATAATTTCGCCATTGTCCTTTTTTGGGTTTGGAGCGATCTTAACGCCATCTCTTTAAAATCGGTCAATGTATTTCGCCATTGTCCTTTTTTGGGTTTGGAGCGATCTTAACGCCATCTCTTTAAAATCGGTTAATCTATTTTGTTTGTCTGTTTTATCGACTAAGGGTGCGTATAGATCTGAATGCGTTGCGAACGCGCTGCATGTGCGCTGCACGCGTGTCGCATGCGTGCATTTAAATACATGCACATTAAATACAAACAGGTAGGTTTTAAGTACTTTCACTCCCGGTGTTCCTCTTACCCCACTGATCCTAGTACATTTTAACGTGCATTAGGCGTTTAGTGCCATTCTTATTATAGTTTGCTGTGTCTTGGGAGGTTAGTACTAACAAAAATAAATAATATTAGAAAAGGGACAATAAATTCGAATGGGATGAATAATGAATTATATGATCCAGGTATATTAAACAAACAAAGCATAAAATATAGGGTGCAGGCCGAATAATACAAGGGAACTGTTTACTGGAAATAATAAAGATGGATATAGGCTTTACGGTTATAGAAACTATAGAAATTTCAAAGGTTAAACCCCACTGTCATCGCCAGAGAGCAAAACAGGCACAGTATACATATTTATTATTAATCCTAAAAGGCTAACTAACGTACTAAAGCAACTGCTAGTTGCATATTAGGCATTTTTATCGTTTATATGTGAATTACCGTCACCTATCAGTAGTCCGAAATGACGTTTCCCAGAAATAACGTTTGGTCGAAATTTCATAACCTCGAAAGTAATTTCGAGAGGTAAATATTTTTTCTTTTAAAACTTAACCTAACCTCACCGAACCTAATCGTGTCTTTGCGATAAACATTCAACATATCCTGAAGGACAACTGTTTCGTTATAATTCGGTTGTCGGTATAACGAAACGGACAAAACAATTTTCGACTTTGTGATGTGTTATTACGTGAATTACTTAACGAAATTTAAGCAAATATACTCATCTCAAATCTCTAGTTATCAGTAAATAGAATTTATGTAGTGGCACCAAAGGTGGGTATTTTAATGTCCGCTCCAGTAGAATATATAATTATGGGCGCAGTACTGATATATACTAACAGTGGGTGTTAACCCTAAAGCAGTGTAAAAGGTGGAAATAGCAAAAAAAAAAATTTAAATAAAAATGGGAGATGTAGATCGCGGCAAATAACCTTAACACTGAGCGCGGCAAGCTTTCTTATACTACAACAATGGCACCCGCACAGATTTATTAGCTTCGAAAATGTCGCTGAATCGACCTTGTTGCCATGCAAATAATAAGTATTAAACAAGTGTAAATAGTCGATTGTTAAATTTGCCGTTAACTACAACATAAAAATAAAAACCATTAAGAGTCGGTCCCCAATTTATCAGCACGCCTCGGCACCGCGTCCAAAGTAAATCATTTAAATGATTATACTGTATATAACACACAAGTTTATAGGAAATGAAACTATTTTTCCGGATTTAAATCGCGTATATTTGTTTTTTCAAACAAACCGACGTTTTGGGCCCTTTACAGGTCCCATGTTCACGGTTGACTGACCTGACACAAGTTTATTTTGAATGCGGTGCTAATGCGTGATCGCAAATGGGGCCCTACCCTAACTGTACTGACCGGTGATCGCACTACATCCATCCATTTTGTTCAAAGATTTTTGTTCTGAAACAAATTTTGCTTTTATTTTTTTAAACATGGATATCAAGACTAGATATTGCAGCAGTCATATCGCATCTACTAAGATAAATACAATTCTATAAACACAGATATCCATTGCAAAAAACGCTAGATATACCGCGTGTTTGAGAGAACGCACTTAGCAAAAACGGACTAAGATAGATATAATGCACGTAGTAGAAATAGAAATGCACCCACGGTAAAGTTGACTTAATGCTGGAGTTTATGGTCCGTTATTCTGGCTAAGCGGAGAGGTGAGATGTGTTTAAACAACCAGTATAATTTGTTGTTTTCGTTAAATATGAAAAAAGTCTTTATAAGCTTTCGCGATTACGGCACACTGCAAAAGAAACTATTTATTCGGATCCAAATCGCGTGGAAAGAACGCTTGTGACAAAAACTTAAAACCGAGAAAATCATTTTAAACAAACGAAATTTAAAAAATATCATATACCTTATCCACGTAGAAATAGTGACAGATTGGCCTTTTTTTACTGACCGCACTAGTATACGTGACCATACGTCCGTCGCATTGAGCGGGACAGTCCCGCTTTTATGCTTCATGTCACGCTGTGCCCAAAATCCTTAAAGATGTCTTGCTTTGACAAAACAAGATACACGTGACAGTAAATTTTAAAAATGGCGTGAACTACACAAGATTTGTTGTTTTTTAAATTTTTGATCATTGAAAACGTTTAGTTATATTTGAATTTTTTTTATCGTGAAACAATAATAAATGTACAGGCGTCCCGCTTTGAGCGATAAAATAATGACCACATTAAATACACAAAACAATTTTCTTTTTAAATGTCACATGCGACCTTTCACTCAGCGGCAGCAATATATTTGTTTTTTCGAACAACCCAACGGCCAAAACCAAGTCACAAGGCAGCCGTGAATTATTATAATATATATATTATATTGAATATAATATATATATTATAATACAGGTTCAATATAATATATTATATTGAACCTGTAAACGTTGTACCAAACAAATCAAACAAATTTCATTTCCGATAAAGACACTCCGTTGGTTAAACATATCTATGTATATTTTTCTCCGCTTTAGGTGAATAACGGGAATAGTGTTTGATAATATGAATATTAAATGGAATGATTAAAACCACCACTGAATAGTCGGTATTTTAAATGAAGTTATAACTGGGTGCAATGGTAAACAGTGAGAAGCTTAATATTATACAACCCAGACTAACAGGAAAGTCAAGAAAGAGCCGGACATCTTAAATCTGTACTATCACTAAAAAAAACGTTACTATGAAAACTTTGGCTATACTAATTATGACAATTAGTCGGAACAGATACTATATAGCACTCACAGGCCTTATACCTAAATAGACGCCGCAAGTGTACCTCATTCACGTGCCCAATATAATATAAAAACGCTTATGGTCTCTCCACCCTACCCTACCCTACCCGCGAAGCATGAGTGTGCATCGCATTCGCATATTCGTCGCGGCTTCGCGTCGCATTCGCGGTTCGTTCCCGATTGTTGTCGGTATTTTGTCCCGCGATAAAGGTATCGCGAAGAGCGAACTTGGCGTGACCGCGACAAGAATTTACATTCGGGTGCGGTTCATTTGCCGATGTAAGTACCGCGGGCGGTTGTGTTTGTAATTTTATTGTTGACGATTCGAACGATTTGACGATTTGGGGTGGTGGTGGTTGGGGCACACACTTCACGTATAGATATTAAAAATTACTCACAACCTGCTATGTTTTTTTCATTTGTAGTTTTAGTTTCAAAATTGTCAATACATTTTAGACATCAATTTTTCCATGCCTTTTTTTCCAGTCGATTAGAATAACTGGCGGAACTGATATCCCATATTGCAAGGTGTTGTTCTGCATTGTCTATAAATTCTTCAACTCGATTTTCGTACATCGTTTCGGCTGCAGCGCGGCTAACAGCGACTAATTTGAACGCGCCCTTACCATTGAAGTCGATTAAAAATTTAACTACAAATCTTTAATTTTTTAAGGGACAAACATTTTTTTCAAAACAATACAGTGCATCAACTTATTCTGGTATTATTTATTTATTACTCCGGCCTTTGAATTTGTGAACCGATTTGGATAAAGCTTCTTTTTGTTGGAAAGAGGGTACCTCAGCAGTGTCCCATTTAATTTTGAAGAACATATCGACTGTGAACTGGCAACCGGTACTATCTCAATTTTGACAATTTTACAGGATGAAGAAAATAATTGTTTGCGTCGTTTGTATAGCATCTGGTCAGAAATTATTGCAAGTTCAATGAAGGCGATTCAGGCGCCAAAATTAAATGTATCTAAGATGGAATTTCTTGCAACGCGGAGGAGTATGAAATAGTATAAAATGGTATTAAATAGAAATTTTTAGAAAATTGTACCGGTTGTCAGTTTACAGTCCATATTCCACCTCTAAGGGTGGTTATTTACGCATGAAGACTTATTTTTATAATAAGGAGCAATTATTTTAATGGACGTTTTTAATGTGCTCCAACTAAAGGCGTTTTTCTCTCAATACACTTTAAGCAGTGAGCACCGATTTTTATTATCTCCTGTGTTAAGTCGCATATAGTGGCGAACTAGGGGGATGCATCCGGTTTTTTTGCACTTTCCGGTAACCTATTGCAACAAAACTTGGCAAATAGATGTAATTCCACGAATATTTGAAGTCGGTTTTTTTAGTGCTTTGTAGGTACTGAGATTATTTAACTATATAAGTAACGTTTCTTTAGTGCAGGGTCTGCGTCGTCGATTTAATCGATCGCTTTAGCACCGAAGTTGCTATCACCAAAGCGGTTGTGACGTCATCGGAGTTTTCATGCAGATGCACTTGCGGCGTCTATTTAGTTGATAACTTTTTTGCTTAAATAGGACAGTTACAAAATTGTACATTATAGTGTTATTTGTACAACACTAACAAATACGCAAGACCGTTCGTAAACTATTTAGTCCTTTAAGGTCTAGTATTTTAAAAATAACCGTGTGTGTACACAATTTGTTTTCGTATTATTTTTAAGACTTTCAAGTGATAAAAGCACTTTCGATGTATGATTACACGTGACTTTATTATACCAAGAGCACTAATTGTTCCTTACATTTTTCCGCGGCATTGCCGCGTTGCTTCAAGGTCTGCGGTAAGCCTAATTTAAGTTATACGCAAACATTCGTCGTCTCACAGTAACGTTCAAGGCGCTCTTGACTTGTTAATCTGTTAAAATGGAAACGAAACAAAAAAAAGCGACTATATTCTATCTACAAGCGGTTATGAGGGTGAAATGATATATCCTCATAACTCACAATTTGTCTTTTTCGGAGCGTGCATCACCGAATATGGATCCGCGAGAGTTGAACGCCGATTGGCTGGAAGACTTCTCGCGTTTTGCTACACGGAAGAAATTCTAGTTATAAATGGTATCTATATGCAAAAATGTGTGGGCCAAAATTGTTGAGCGATAAAAATAGACCTATCAGTAACACCATATACCAATAACTCAAAAGGACTGTTTAGTACGAGAGACTCCTTGATTCGTGGGTTCTGGGACCCTTGGTCGAGAAAGACCGCCGATGGCGCGTAAACGTAGAGGGAGAATTGGGTAGAGGGGATCTATAAATAATAAAAACCGTACAAGCGAGACAGATTTATGCACAGACATATCGGAGTAAACGAGAAAACAATATTATTTTTTGTCCCGTTCTACGTATGCGGTTTTGGTTGTATGACTCAACGCTCGTTGAGTCCAGCAAATCCTTCCGAGCGTTTGATGTGCATCGATTTTATGTGTTTGTGCTTTTAAGAAGTGTTTTACAAAGTTACTAACCGTTCCTTTGTAGTAATTGACAATTATTGCAGCTTGCAATAATGGTGCATTGTTGTATTTTAGGCTGTAAAAGCCGTACGGAACGAAAAATTCCCAACATAACCTTCCACACGTAAGTTTTAATTTTTCATTACAATCAATGAATTTTCTTGTATGAATTACTAGTGAAATACTCTTACAAGCCTGGAATATTACGACTTCATGTATTTTAGATGATATTTGAAGTTTTTCTTGATTAAAAGATTTTTGTTTGCATCGTATAAACCTCCTAAAATAAGGAGAATAGCTTACTTTTGTCAAATATGTCTATCTCGCTTCTACCAGCAGTGGTTATGATACGCGAGAAAGAGAGATCAAATAAATAATGTAAAAATTTTTTTCCCCAATTTATGGGTCATTTTAAATATTGTATTTTTTTACTTTTCAATACTTTTTCAGTTCGAAATATGTATACTAAGTTAATACTGTTCAAGGGCCAATAAAAAGTAATGATTTGTCTTAATTGTTTTATTTGGTTACTAAAACTCTACCAAGCTAAATGTGGTCTGGCGGATTCTCCCTCCTTAGACTCGGCAGATTTCATCATTATCATGAACCCATTTATACGTCCCACTGCTGGGCACGGGTCTCCTCTCAGGCGAGTGCTTAGGCGACAGTCCACCACACTGGCCCAATTTGGGTTGGGGACTGCACACGTTTTCCGAGGACTTTGAACCTTCTTCAACGTTTCATCACGATGTTTTCCTTCACCGAAAAGCTCATGATAAATTTCAAATTAAATTTCGCACAAATTCCGAGACACTCAGAGGTGCGAGTCGGGATTCGAACCCACGACCCTCTGCCTTGAGAGGCAGTAGGTCAAAAACCATTAGGCTACTACGGCTACATTTTCATTTCAATTTCTTTAACGAGGTAAAATTTTAAAAGTAGACAACCCAGAATTTATAGGTACTCTGTTGGTATCCCTTTTCAGTATACGCGAGAAGCTTCTCTATTCTTTTTTTTTATTCTCCCTCTACGCGCGTAAAAGACAAATCCGTCTGACATCTATTTGACAGAAGTCAGTCTATGGTCAAAGGAGGCGCGCGCTATAACTGCTAATTTCCATACTACAGACAGGAACTTTAAAAAGGTCAAAACGCCGTCTTACATCAAGATGGCGCTGATCAATAGCCTGAAAGTGGTTTACATACTTCAGGATACATAATTCGCACCACCTCGCATTTTTGTTTTAAACGGCTAGAATACAAAAGTAGTGTTATCGTCGAAGAAAACGTTTTTCCCCGGTTTTGCAAATCCAAAATTCCAAAAAGGTTTTATGTATACTAGTTTCAAAATTGCTTAATAGTTTTTGATCAATCAAACATTGTATAAGCGTAGGGCATTTAGTGCTGAAAATGCGAGCTGGCTCGAATTACGTGTCCGGGAGCGTATTATGTAATGGCCGTGCATATCATCTTCATCTTTAATATGAAATATAAGAGTAGTGTTGCCACTTCAGCCGATTTTAAGCTAGATTCTTTAGCCACATTTACGGAATCGTTAGCTACAAAAAAAAACTTGGTGACTAAAACATTTTAGCTACCATTATTAGCTTATTCTATATACACTTTAATAAAAGTTATGCTTTTACAGACAATTTCTGAACCAAAAGTGAATAGCCATTAAAAATGCAACAAATTAATGTTGTTGTAAGTTTTCGCAATGACAGCTTTCTAACGCTGAAGTGGAGTTTTTTCTGTCATGAGCTCACCGTAAATTAAATATTAAGGATCAGAGATTTTTTTTGGAGAAAAATAATGACACATGTGCGACTTACTCAATCCCAAATAACATCTTAAAACTAATAGGAAAACAAAACAACTAGAAAAAAAACGAAAATGAAGCTGGACCTTCAACATCACAAGATGCTATGATATTCTTTTGGACTTATAATTAGTACAGTAGTAGCAAGTAGCAATCTCATATAGCTTTTCTTCCGCCACTTTTGGCTACTTTTATCAGAATTGAGGTCTTAGAATTTAGCAACATTTTTTACTTAGGTTTAGCTATTTCCTCCCTGGGCAAGGTGGCAACACTGATAAGAAGCAAGTATTTTTTCATTGTAATATTATTCAAATATAGATCATGAACCTAATTTATTTTCTGAATTTTGACAAATATGCGAGTCTATAGACGGCATTGCGTGTTACAAAGTCATTCATAAATTAACGCTTCCTATTATGGGTAGATGGTGTTAATACTAAACAAAGTGAAAAAATAACCGGTACTACCATTAAAATATGTGGAATAAGCGCCATCTAGTTGATTTGTTTGTTATCACTAGAAATAAGAGTATCGTTGATAAGTTGCAAATTACAGTACCGGCACGCTATGATGGCCGTTTTCACAGATTACAATAGTGAAGTCAAAACTCAATTCACTATCGAAAAAAAATATAATCAAATGCGAGTCGCATCTATAACTTTTTAGATTTATAACTAGTATTGCAAGGGGAAGCTGATAAAAAGTTTTAATAAAACGAAAATAGAAATATTTACTTAATATATCGTCTATTCGAAACTGCTTTGTTTTGCATCGAGCTTTGACGCGAGTTTGCCGGAGGTAGAAGTTGTGCTGGCCAGCGATCCCATAAGTGACGATCGTATTAGATTTCATTGTTTTTAAATTCGAATTTCGATAAACAAATGCTGTGTCGTAAAATTATACATTCTATAAATTTTACTGCACCTCACTGTTGACAACAATGTACATCAATTTCGTAGTACGTAGTTACGAATTATTACGAAACTTGAAGAGCGGACAACGTCAAAACGTCCATCGTAGCGTGCCGATACTATAGTTACAAAAATAGCTATTTGGTACTCGTCGCGAAATCTGGTGTACCAAAAGATACCAAATATCCGACTACGCAGTCTCGCGATTAGCAGCCCTCAAGAGTAATTGGTTCATGGTAACACATAGACATGTGCGCTGCGCTGTCACCGCAGAAAAATTTGATAGGGGTAGATTTTGTCTTATTTTAATTAACTATCAAATACTTTGTTAATTATTTACTTCAATACAATAATTCTGTACAATTGAAGGAAACGTTACGTAGGGTCATATTCCAGAACTCTACTCAATGCTCAAATCAGGACTTGAGTGTGGTTTAAAGCACTCGAAATCGTACTCAAGTCCCTGCCATTAGGGTCGTATTTCCAGTTCTTGTGTTTCCAGTGCAATCCTGACTTGAGTATTGAGTAGAGTTCTAGAATACGACCCGTAAACTATATTTCAAATAAAAGCGTTTTTTACTCCGTCCAACCATTTTATTCAACTTTTGACAACTCGAATTGTAATCAATTAGTGATGTCCTAATGCGTTTCCGATTCGATTTTTTATAACAATTGATTTTATATATGAAGAATTTTATATATACCGTCACTAGCTCTAGAACACCATGTACTATAGTCTATTTCAATAGAATTGAGAGTAAACGTAAACAAACCAGTTGGGTTAAAATTCTGAAGAAATCACTCACTATATGGAATAAGTAACACTTTTATGTGTATTTTGTAGGTTTCCACTAGATATCTCACTACTTTTTCCAACAATATTCGTTTGTTATGCATTATAAAATCATAATTGAAAAATCTTCGCCGAAAACTGAGATTGATTTGACAATCCATAGTCTAGAATGTCTATGGTTGCATAGGGATGTACGGAAAAAAGTTCAATTGAGTGAATCATAGTTTGAGTAAGTGATTGCCTCAAGAGTCACCAGAAACTTACGTCTTGAAGTCATTTGACCAACTCTTATTTCTGTACCGCTTACAAACGATTTAGCGACTTGTTAACTATCAAGTATTTTCATAATTTTCTGTATTTAACTGATAGCTTCTAACTTTTAAACAATAAATGTCAATAATCGTAAATAAAGAAACGTTTTTATATGTATCACCTTCAATCAATTTACAACGGTCAAATGCGCGGAATTCACTTGATGTTAGTCCAACAGATTCAATTGATCGATCTGATTCATTCAATAATTGATTAGTAAATTACTCTACAATTGCCCATCACTAAACCGACTATGGTCGGGTCAATGCACTCAATGTTTACCTTTACTCTCAATTCATTTGAAACAGGGTATACAACATTGATGCAATAAAGATTATGACTATGACTATGAAGTTAAAATAGTGAATTTGAGCTGGTTCAAAAAGGAAGATGTTGTCTGATTGAGATCGCGATGTTGCATTTGACAATTTGTGTACTCAAGATTTAATAATGATGTAAATTAGGATTCAAGTGATGATTCCCTTTCATGTGGAGAAGAATCCGACGATTAATTACAATAAACAATAACAATATATTATAATTATTACATTTCATTATAATATATTATTAACTTGAATAATTTTCGTTACATAATCCGTTGGCTCAATAAATATCTGAGCTAAAGAGCACGCCGCTTCACTAAAATTAAAAAATAAAAGTTTCCGGAAAGTATTGCATTTTTTGTCTATGGTTGTAAGTCGATAATTACGGAACTTCGGAGGCATGCATATGTCAAAAGTTAAATAAATGATCGCACGGAGTATAGTTCTTTGAAAAAGTTGAAACTGAATAAGAAAGGTTGGTTTAAACAATATTTTAGTGTTTTTAAGGAACACCTGAAAAATACATGCCAAAACGATCACACTGTTGGCGGCCGAATAACCATCAGATGCCACTGGCATACATGTCTAGTAATAACTATTATGTTTTTTAATCCTTAGGTGAATAAATGCTCGGTTTTAACGCTCAACAATCTTGCATCCTGCATTTAGAGCACTTGTCTAAAACCTTCGAAAGAAGAGAACAGATACTCAACGGTAAATAAAAAACTAGTCTTTTTGAGAGTTCTATTCACCCCATCCGAGTGTATTCAGTGTCCTGCTTTTACATAGAGAAAGTATTAATTGAGACCGTGTCATGTGGTTCCTTTTCAACTCTAGGTGTTGACTAACTTATAATTAAGCAAAGTGATTTTTGTTAAAAAGGTCTGGTTGTTGAATACTGGCATCAAATTACATATACAATTAGAAATAAGTACGGAAACTAAACGAAACGCGAGCGCGCCACCTAGCGGTGTAAGATCGTATAGCTACGTTACCCGCGCTTCTAGTGTCCTGCGTTTCGCCTAGTGCCTAATTTTAACCGACTTCAAAGAATGAAGTTCTTATTTCGACTGTATTGTTTTTATGTATGTAAGTACGCGATAACTCAATTTGTGAATCGAATTTGATGATTTTTTTCTTTGTTGGAAAAGTACAGTACTGGAGGGTACCTGAGTATTGGTTCCATTTAAATTTGTAGTACATATTCCACCTCTAAGGGTGGTAAACTAGGGGATGAATCCGGTTTCACGCACTTTCCGGTAACCGACATCAATAAAACTCGGCAAATAGATGTATTGCAACAAACTTCTGAAGTCGGTTTTTTTAAATAAAAAAGTTATAATTATGGTAGTTAAAATTAACAGAAAGTACAAGTTGTTATAAGATTTCGTAGAATATACAGTGTTCTCATTGCACTATACCTAAACCACGACAATTATGACATATATAAATAATACTAACATTGTAATTTGCTGACAGGTATTCTGCGAGTATATATAAGTATTCAACAAGACATCTTTTTAACAAAAAATTCAAACTTAGCAGTATGTAGATTTAGAAATCTGTTGTAGACAATAAAATTTAGAAGAGAACAGATACTCACCACTGGTTATGACTCCGCCGTAGGAATTGTTGAATTTGGAAGCTTCTTGCGAATGCTGAAATGGTATGAGAGCCACAATTTCATTGTTTGAAATTATTATAGTATAAAACAAAATGTCTTACATGGTTTCAGCTTGAATTCAAACTTTTTTCCATACTAATATGGTTAATTTTGCTTGGTTCAAGGGCAGGGACACTAGCATTATTCCTGAATTGACTTTTTTACAAACGAAATTAAAAGCACTTGAAAAATGTACATATATCGCATTGCATATTCAAGTTCGATTTAGTTTAGAATACTTAAGAATGATCAAAAACAGGTTCCAATGTAAGTTGTATGGTCTACAACGAAGGTTCAGCTACAAATGGAAAGTCAGGTGGTACACAACCACCTTTCAGGTTAAGATATATGCATAACCGCTTCTGCAGATGTACAGTAGATGATATATTACATAAAGAAGGCATTTATATAAAACCTTGACGATCATTAACTTACTAGAATTAGTCTCCACACATCAAGGATTGTGGACAATTGTGTGACTGTCTTAAATGCTCTTGGGGAGAAGACCAAAGTAGTTTTGTAATGAATTTCAGTAGCTCTAGGAGGACAGATACTGCTATTCTCGCATAGATTCATGTCGCGCCCTTCCGTGTTAGCCCTACAGACCTGATATCAAAGGTAACAAAGAAGCTGATGCACTTGTGCTCCCTTATGGTCTTAAACTGTTCACTGGGATTCCCAACTGTGGGGGTGGAGAGCTAAAAGGTCAGGGTGGAAAGAAACTGAGAGTGTTAGGATGTGCTAGAGTGAGCAATGTAAGTGTAGTGTGGGAAGTGCTTCTACAGCTAAGATTGCATATCAAGGGAAGAATAATTTATAGGATAATCGATGGAAGAATAGATTGTAGAAGAGTAACATATCTGTCAATCAATGTCAACATATAAAAAATTTAAACACGAAATAAATATGTTTATAAAGTGAAATATATGAAATAGTATGTAGTTAGCATTGGAAAAACGAATAACAAAATTCGGAGATACTATCAGTACAATAGAATATACCAAGGTTGGGAGATCAGACATGAAAAGTGAGTAAATCATAAAAGTGCAAGAAATAGCTTACAATAGCAAATTTAAGTAATTTAGACACTAATATTATAGAAAATATTAGTTGAAACTCTTTCTTATAATGAGAGCATCGAATATATAACCAGAAATAGAGACGAAATAAGGGCCATATATTCCTGGTAACACATTAGCGATACAGCTCTTATAAATATCAACTCCCGTTTGCACTGAAATATAGACAGGCCAACTACTGACCTGTGTGTATGTCCCCGTATATTAAAAAAAAATTGTGTATTTATTGTAATAAAGATAATATCTCTAACGATGTCGTGCTGTTCTATTCGGTGGTGTGGAAAAACAGCAAAACATGTAATTACAAAACAAACAGAATCACATTTCACCAGTAACTAAATATTAAATATGTAATTTTGCAATTTTCGTCCATAATAGCAAAGCTCAAGTTAACTGGACGATTAGAAGTGAAACAGTTGGCGACACCCGTCAATTGTTTCGAACTCGGGCTAGCCAATCGGAGTGCAGTTGTCACACTAATGATATGGCAGAATAGTTTTCAAACAAATTAAATGACATTTCGTCTCCATTTCTGGTTATATACTCGATGAATGAGAGATGAAGATGATAGGGTTCCGTAGTTACACTACAAGATATATGATTACAAGCCAACAGTCAGTTTAATTTGAAAGCCTACAGCGTTAAACATTGTAAGGAAGCTCCAAATGTTGACTCCATCTCGTGCAGACCACTTAGGTTTGAATAAGCATATATGTAACATTAGGAGTTAAGTGAGTGACTGTAGATTCTGCTTTGAAGCGGATGTGACGCCTACGCATTCCTAAGTCAATGTTATTATTAGCATACATAAGCACAAGCCAGATGTGGGAAAATTAATCAGAACTGTGAGAATCCTACAGTTCCTTAATTGTGTCAGTCTTTTCTGAGTTGAAATTAACAAACTAGTAATGCTTACCTCCAAATCCCTCAAATTCTTCATCACAGAATCGAAATCCTCTTTTGTCGCTTCGTCTAACTTATCACTCCTATGTTCACTGTCTTTAACATATCTCTCACTATTGTCCTTGTGATTCACTTCGGGCACACTGAGTTTGTCTCTTGAAGGCACTGAATCACTTTTTTCACTTGGCCTTTCACTTTTAATGTCTTCCACCACTTCTACATCACTGCTACTGTCGTCCACAGCCAGAGGTTCTTGTTGAAGATCACTTAAAGGGTCTATGTCTGACAGTATCACTATATCTTTCTTCTTCTTCACTTCTGGAGGCCTTTTATCGGGTTTTATGAACGTAGGCGAATGGTGTACAGGAACTAAAGTAGGTCTAGGTATGTTGTTCTCGGCTATTCTCATGCTCTCAATTTGTTTTTGACTAATCTCGAGTTTCGTCTTTGGACTGGGCGTGAGCGGCGAATGTTTCGGTTGGTAACTCGTGTCTACATGTAACGGAGTATCAATTTTTTTCTCTTTATTCGTGCTCATCGAATGTGATGAATGATTTTTCTCCTTTTTGTGTTTATCTTTATCTCTCCTATGGATGTTCTCTAGCGCCTTCTCTTTTTCTTTTTTGACCATCTCGTTCAACACCGCCGGGGACTTAATCCTTATCAGAGGTTCCTTACTTTTCTCCAAGGCCATTTTCTCCTTAGAAGGCACGGGCGTAATGGTAATGCTCCCGATGTTATTCGGCGGAACGTACACCTCCTCTTTCGGCTTCTCGGCCGCGTCCTTCCTCCGGTCCTCCTGCTTTTCGACGACCAAATCTTTGCTCAGCGAGAAGTTGATCAAGCCGCCGAACACGGAGGACTTGAACCTGTCCTTGTCGTCGGCGAAGGGCGCGTCGCACTTGTCCGGCTGCGGCTTCATGGTGGTGACGGTGAGGGAGCTGGGGAAGTGGATGTTGTCGGCGAAGGACAGCGGCGCGAGGGGCGCGGCGGGCGCGACCGACGCGACGGGCTGCGACGAGGAGCCCAGCCGCTGCCGCTTGAGCTCGCCCGCCTTGAGGTCCTTGCTGAGGCTGGAACGAGAACGGCAGAGGTGAGGCGCGGTGCGGGCGGGGCGGGGGCCGGGGCGGGGCGGGCGGACACTCACTCGGCCTGGCGCAGCAGCGTGGGCATCCGCACGAAGCCGTTGGGGAAGAGCGGCAGCGCGCGGCGCGCCAGCAGCGCCGCCGCCGCCTCGTGGCCGGGCGCCAGGCGCTTGAGGCGCGCCAGCAGCTGGCGGCTGCGCGGGCACCAGGGGAAGCGCCGCTTCGGCAGCCGCCGCTCGATGTGCGGCGCGCCCTCCGCCGCCGACGCGATCAGCAGCTTCTTCCTGCCGCCCCAGACGCTCTGTTACTGTCTATCGTTGCGGTTCAGTTGTACATATGCCGTCCGCTAACTGTGGCTTATTTGGAAAGTTGGATTTTTCGCACTAGTGCTTGTTACTTTCCCATTTTTTTTATTTACTGTCGTTTCAAGTCTTGAACATAGAACTAAAGAGGTTGTATATTTATTTAATATTTCTGTGATTTGTGACGTCATTAAAACTTACATTTACTTGCAAACATCTTATTTGTCTAAATTGCATAGGTGTTTTATAAAGCAACAGCTTACATTTAAAAACACCAAAATATTTTCCATAAAGATGGCCGATTAAGTATAAACAATGACCAGAGGTGAGTCTTACGCGAAGCCGCTACGCGCCGCGCCACTAAAATAGTAATTTTAATGTGGCTGAACTGGCAACAGTTGCCATTGTACTCTGAATTTTTATCAGACAAGACTGTTTTATTTTACTTCCAATGTACTTTTTTCGAAAACGTATTAAATGTTTAATACACGTGCGGATTTGTCATTTTCACTTGTCTCAAAGCCTCGAGACTCGTGAATAATAGCTATTCTGAGATATCGTAAAAAACCACTTTTAGAATATTGAAATTATTTAATGATATTTCAGTTGTGCATCGTTACGGTAAGTTCCAATAAGTCAAAACCCGTTAACAAATCGTCGGTTAAAAGGTAAAACTCATTAAGTGACATTTTGTTCAAAAACTAGATTTTTTCAATTTTGCTTTATTGGGAAGAACATCTATGACAAGAAAAATTCAGTAAGTCTGTGGTGTCCTTCATGTTTTAATACATACCAGTCCTTTAGTGATTTTTCATAATGAAAAAATACAAAATCTTAATTATCTCCCTTTGGCCAATTAGGCTATTAGTGAGTTTTACCTTTTAACCGACGAAATTTTAACTGTTTTTGAAAGAGAATTTTGTGCTCTATTTTTTGCTATTTAAAACGGTTATTTCATCATTTGACACTTAGCTGCATTTTAGTTAGTGGACGGCAGATATACCTCTTCCCTCAATGTACGAACCACGTGACAGATTCATATGCCATTAGTAAATGTAAAACGGTCTCCGCGACACAAACCTGAGCTTAGTGCAGAGGTAACTAATGAATAATTTACGAAATTGCCTAGTTTATTGTGGAACTTCAATAATCTATATTATTTATTAATAC